TTGTTGATGGGCACTTAGGTTGTTTCCAACTCCTTGCTATTGTGAACAAAGCTGCAATAAACATGGGTGTGCATATATCTGCTTGGATGTCAGCTATGACAACATCTTTTAATGGACTTAATTTTTTTTACTTCCTTACCAAATATTTTTTAATGTGAGGAATGTGCTTTTCTTTCTTGCTGTCTCCTTCTGGAGCCTTCTTACTTGGTTTAACATTGCCATTTTGGGGTGCTATGTTGTCCTCTATCAGTGTGATTCCTGCAGGGTTGTCAGTCAAGAGATACCTCTCACAACACACACCCAGCTTCTAGGGAACAAGTGGGTAGCTCACCATCAGGGCTAATGACAACTCTCCTCCAGGAAGTTTTGTAGTTGAACAGACATTGGAGGTGATCCAAAGCACTGAGTCATACTATAACAGACAGTGTGTAAATGGTTCTTTCACCTCAGTGAACCTAAGAATCCCCTGGAAAGTTTATTAACATTTCTAGTTACTACTCCCAGAGATTCTAATTCAGTAAAGTCTAAAGTAGAGATTCAAGAATCAGCATTTTAATGAGAAGACCAGGCTTTGGAAAATTCTGCCTGTAAAATCCATGAGTCATTCCCACTGAGGTCCTCATAACTAGCTTGATTTCTGATTTGTCCAGTTATCCTTTCCATACTATGAGTTACTAATGTTTTCCACTTTATTTCCCTTATTACATGGAACCATAATCAACATCCTTGATACAAGCAGTCAGGAGATCAGAAGACATATTGCAAGCCTTCATTTAGTCAGGGACCTCTCCAAATTACTAAGGGTTAATGATATCGGTATGAAGACTAAGGTGTGCCTAATTCAGACCGTGGTCTTTTCAAACACTTGTTATGCTGCTGAAAGCTGGACACTGAATAAGGATGACAGAAAAGAGTTATTGATTCCTTTGAACTGTGGTGCTAAAGAAAAGTACCGAACATAGCATGGACTGCCAAAAGAGCAGATAGGTCTTGGAGAAGATGCAGTCCGAGTGCTCTTTGGAGGCAAAGATGATTAAGCTTCACCTCACACACTTTGGGTATGTTGCGAGGAGAGACTATTTCTTAGAAAGGGGCATCAGGCTTAGAAAGGTGGAGGGTCAGCAAAAGAGGGAAATACCCTCAGAGATATCAACACATTGACTGCAGCAATGAGCTCAAGTATGTCAGAGACTATATGGATGGCACAGGATGCGACAGGTTTCAGATCAGTTGTTCACAGGGTTACTATGGTTCATACTTGACTTGACAGCACCTAACAACAATAATTATTTCACTGACAAAGCAGAATTGCCCCAGAATTTCCAAGACAATAATCCTACAGATGTTAACTGCCTCATCCTTCTCCTATAGAGCGGCTGCTGAGTTCAAACCAACAATCTTTAGTTTAGCAGCTGAATGCTTAACCACTATATTACCAGGGCTTCTCCTTTGATAATAGGCCATGGAATTTAGTAATAGGACTTAATAATAAAATAATAATTTTCCAGTATGGAATATCTAAAATTACTGAAACTTCAAATTTGTGTTTTATTTTTCAATTGTTTTATATTTACAATTTAGCATATTCATTTTCTCAAACTTCCCATAAGCTTTGTAAACTCACTATGTACAATTGTAAAGGCATGTTGTGTTTATAAAATTATGATGTAGCGCTTTCTATGAAGATGGCGCCGAAAGCTAAGAAGGAAGCCCCTGCCTCTCCCAAAACTGAAGCCAAAGCAAAGGCGTTAAAGGCCAAGAAGGCAGTCCTGAAGGGCATCGACAGACAAAAAAAGAAGATCCACACGTCACCCAACTTCCGGCGGCCTAAGATGCTGAGATTCTGAAGGCAACCCAAATACCCCCGGAAGAGTGCCCCCAGGAGAAACAAGCTTGACCTCTATGCCATCATCAAGTTTCCCCTGACCACTGGGTCAGCCATGAAGAAGATAGAAGATACCAACATACTTGTGTTCATTGTGGATGTCAAGGCCAACAAGCACCAAATTAAACAAGCTGTGAAGAAGCTCTATGACACTGATGTGACTAAGGTCAACACTTTGATTAGGCCTGATGGAGAGAAGGAGGCCTATGTTCGACTTGCTCCTGACTAAGATGCTTTGGATATTGCCAACAAAATTGGGATCATCTAAATGGAGTCCAGCTGGCTAATTTTAAATATAAATTTTTCTCACACACACACAAAAAATTATGATGTAGCAAAAAACCTTAAATGGCTTTCTAAAAAAGATGAATGCAGAACAGATTATCCGAGAGGCTGGGTTCTATGAGAGGAAGTGTGGGGTCAGGATTGGTGGAAGATCTATTAACAATCTGCGTTATGCAGATGACACAACTCTGCTTGATGAAACTGAGGAGGACCTGAAACGCTTGTTGCAGAGGGGTCCTACAGCTTTCAATATGGATTGAGGCTCAATGTCAAGAAGACAAAGATTCTCACCACTGGACCAATTGGTAGTATCAAAATGGATGGTGAAGAGATTGAGATTGTTAAGAACTTTAGTCGGCTTGGCTCCATGGTCAACACTCTTGGCACCAGTAGCCAGGAAATAAAAAAACGTATTGCGCAGTATCTTTTCCCCAAAGAAGTTAAAAGCTCATTACAAAGATTAGACATTACACATAGGAAATAAAATGTGAAATTACCTACTAGTCATCTTAAATAGCATATCCCCATAGCTTTGATGTTAAACAGGAATAAATGTAAACCAACATTTCTATTTTACTGTGTGCTGGTGTATTGAATATTTTCTTCTTGTTATTGTTGTTATGTACCTTTGAGTCACTTGTGACGCATAGTGACCCTATGTACAACAGCCCTGAACCCTGTTTTATCCTGAGCCAACCTTATTGTGTCTAACACACCTACCCCTAAGAATCTTTGCCTTCAAGAAGCAGCCCAGTTTCACTCACTCCAGGATGAAACTGTTTATTTTCTTCCCTTACTAAATTAAAATGAAAATCTTTGGGCTGCTTTAGAAAAAGGTCTGTGAAGGCTGGTTTTCTAGGAACAAGAATGCCAAACTCTTGTGAATTTGCTGAGCACTCATAGTCCCCAGAAACTGGCTCTCACACACAGCACTGCATTCACTCTTGCCCATGATAAGATATCTAAGATGCTTTAGTACAATCAGCTTTCTCTGAATGAAGAAGAAAGGGTTATCAATTAACGAAGAGCACCTTTCCTTAGCTTTCAAACACATTCCATGGAAAGAGAGGCAAGCACCTTACCATGCAACAGATGATTTCGATTCCGGGAACAGAGAACAGTTAGAAATTTCACTTCATCTGTACCCCATTTCTTCTCTCCAGCTTCATACAGTTCCTAAGGCCAAATAAACCACAGGATTAAAACAATGCAGAGGATGTGCCAAAACATAAGCAAATATTTCCAAAATGTCAAAGCTGAGTTAGCTGAGATTTATTCTGTTGATGCTGGGTGGAAATGATGCTTGGTAGTAAATGCATATGCCTTGGGATTTTTACAGAGGTAAACTAAACACAAAAAACTTCAAACTCACCTTCATCAAGTTGGTCCTGATTGACAATGACTCACTGTTGGGTTTCTAAGGGTGTAAATCTTAATGGGAAGGGACTCTCATTATTTTTCTGAGCCTGGTAGATTTGAACTGAGGGAATATTTTCAGCCTTTAACAGCTCAACTCACTATGGACTATCCTACTAGAGTCCAGGTAAAACTAAACCTGTCTTTAGTATCTCCTGCAGAGTCAGGGGAACACCAGCCTCTCCCTATGTGCAGACTGCAAGGTTTTATCTCAAGAGCTAAGTGGACAGCCCTAGTTTGAGCTGTTCCAACCATATAGCAGTTCCCAATCACACTTAAATGTGTATAAATTTAACTTAATGTATATTAAAAACCAACTTTCAATCAGTTACAGAATGTCATTTAAAAACAAAAACAAAATTTTTCCTTTAAAAGAATAATTTTTAAAAATATGGACGGAACTGATACATTTTTTGTGTGTATTTCGGTGGTTTTCAATAGCTGGTAAGGGCAAGCTCTGGTGGCCTAGAGGTAAGAAGCTGCCCTGCAATCTCAGAGGTGAGCAGTTCAAATGCACCAGATGCTCTACTGGAGAAGGAGGGACAATCTCCTCCTGTACCACTCAGATCTGATTTGACGGTACATACACACACACACAAATAATAAAAATAAAATTTAAAAATAATAGCTGATGAGGTTGGACATTTAATTTTTTTTTATGTTTCTTTTCCATTTTAAAAATTTTATATTGGTTTGGATATTGTGATTTTGGCCTAAAAGTTGGCAGGGTTTTTTTAAACTATTATAGTTAGTAGGCTTTGGTGTCCAGCTACCTTAACTGCAGACACATTGTCTTGCAAATCAGCATGGTCTTGGAAATCATCAACAGCTGTGTGACCAAGATAAGAGATAAAGTGCTTCCCACACTGGGCAGCAAGACTTGAGGTGAGTACAGCTTGTGGCAGCAAGACCCTGGTGAGAGTGAGACTCTGGTGGTGGAGAGACTGTGGCATTTTTGTGGACAAACAGTGGCAAGGTGTGACCTGAGGCTTCTTGCATTTGTGCTGGCCATAGTTAAAGGTTTGGCTGTTCTTGCCAGATGTTTGAAGGAGAAGCTAACTTACAACTGCTCTGAGGCAAACCTTGACTGATGATTTGGATTTGAATGTTGAACTGAAACTAGAACTTGGACTTATTAAGGAACTGTTGGGCTAAAGCCTTGATTTCTATTGTGAGATAATTATTTGTCTTCCCCATTCACTTCCCTAATAAACCCCATTGTTGGTACTGTAACTGTGAGTGTGTGAACCAGCAGCAAATAAATGAACCCCTGCTGCTGTGGCTCTAGAGGCTCCATGGGGCTGGGCTTCAGGCTCTTTATCTGCTTTCTACTCTGGGGCAGTGAGGGGCTGTGCTATTCTTACTCCCTCTGGCCCTTTCAGAGAGACGTGCCTGGCTGTATGCCCCCATCTACAGTTTTCTGCTTCTCTTTACACACACACAAGAATCGTATACACTGTGATTCATTCATATCCTTTTGTGTTTCACACATTCCTTCATTCACATGGTGTTTCATATGATCATTCTCATACACTGGATTCTATAAAATTAATCACCATTGATTTATGCCCACTATTACCTCATATTTTCATATGCCATTTCTAGATTTCTCTTTTGTCAGTTCACTGTTAGTATTAATTATCCATTAAAACAAAATAACACCAATCCCCCCCAAAAAACTCACTAAGGTACTCTTATTCTCACCCCAGTCAAAATAGCAAAATTTAACAGAACAGCAAGCAACAAATGCTGGCGAGGTTGTGGAGAAACTGGAACCCTGACTCACTGTTGGTGGGAGTGTAAAA